TGGAGGGAGTTGCCCAAAGCTGGATTTCAAGGAAGGGATGCAATAAGAAAACCACTCCTTTCACGAAGCAATATTTCAAAGCGTTTAGAGTGGAGTAAAAACCTACAGTACTTGGCCCTAGAACAGTGGAAGTATTTTTTTTTTCGGACGAATCATCCTTTAACTTATTGCAGTCATCTGATCGAGTATACGTGTGGAGACTGTTACGGTTTTTGTGTATATATGTATATATATATATATAACTAGTGAGTTAGCTCAAATGACTTAACTCCCTTTATAGTCTACCAATAGAAGGTTAACCAATCAGAAGACGTAGAACATTCAATTCGTCGTGTATAAAGTCGGCCATTTTTGTTCACTCTACCCGAGTGTCCAGTCCAGCTTGTCAGGCGAAGAGAACCAGAAGGACGAACTATGCTCTGCTACTTTTACCAAAATACCCACTGCTAACCTGAACAACGCTTTCCTACTGTCTTTGAAATATCCACTGCTAACCTCTGGATTCTATAGTCGAAAATGACCGTCATGATGAATAACAGAGACCGCCTATAGAAACATTTGAGCCAGACTGTCTTCTTCCAACTGTTAAACATGGAGGAGGCTCTGTGATGATCTCCTATATCTTGGAAATTTGCCAGCCCAATGGTTCCCCTTCATGGCAGGATCAAGACTATTTAAAAAATTTAATTACATCAAATTAATCATATGGTCGCGGAACTGTTTCTGGATAGAGACGCAATCTTTTAGGATGATAATGCACCAATTCACACAGCTAAAGTTGTGCCTGAGTTGTACGAAGAGCATTCTAGTGAAGTAGACCCATTATCTGGCTACCCCAGTCCCCAGATCTCAATATTATTGAAAAATTCTGGTGCATTCCTAGAAGAATGGCCAACATTCCTCTAGAAATCATTCAAACTTGTATGAGTTCAGATCTTGTAGAATTCAAGCTGTAATCACTGACAAAGGCGATCCTACACTATATTAAAGTAAATTTGTTTGAAATTTCCAGATGTTTCCATTATTTTGTCCAACACCTGTATGTATATATATATATATATATATATATATATATATATATATATATATATATAGTCGTGTGTAGATATATATATTAGTCGATATTGACATATCATCAAGTTTTGTTTTATAGAAATCTGTCTATCGATTAAATGTATAAGTACTGAACAGTGAATTCTTGATCAACCGTATCATCGGCAGAAATGTTGCTGTCAAAATTTGTCTATGGAAATCTAGTTTCCTTTATCTACAAATATATTGATATTTGCTCAAAAAAATCTGTCAAAAGATTCTTCATGTTCTATATATACAGGTGATACGGATATTTATTGACTTAACTGGAATAGTATATATATATATATATATATATATATATATATATATATATATACGTATATACATATATACACAAACATATATATATATATATATATACGTATATGTATATATATATACACAAATATATATATATATACACGTATATATATATACGTATATGTATATATATATATATATAAACAAATATATATATATATATACGTATATATATATATATATATATATAAACAAACATATATATATATACATATATATATATATATATATATATATAAACAAACATATATATATATGTGTGTGTGTGTGTGTGTATGTTTGGTTTTAATATAACTTGATTTAAATTATCTTTAAATTTAAAATGGATAATTTATTTTATCCTAATTTTTATTGTTTAAGATTAAATGTTTGCTTATATTCTTACTTAAATTAATATAAATGATCAAAATATGATTTATTTTTTAATCTTTTTAATAAATCTCATTTTCAAGAATAATTTCTTTTTTACAGTAGGAACCTAATTTTTTATATATATAATTAATTTATATATATATATATATATATATATATATATATATATATATATATATATATATGAAACTCCTTTTCAACTCTCCTCTCACCACCGACTCAGGGCATTTCGTCTGACAGTAACATCAAAATGGAGAAATTCTGTATCTATTTTTCGAACAATTTTTGGTAATATATATATATATATATATATATATATATATATATATATATATATATATATATATATATATATATATATATATAATCTTCAAAGCGTTATTTTAGTGGAAACTTATATTTGAAATAATGCCTAAATTAATAAGAATGAATTAAAAGATATATCAATTAACTAGCAGCATTGCCCGGCGTTGCCCGTGCTTGATTCAAAAATGGTACGACTCATACAGCAATCGCTATCACTTGACTTAAAATATTTTTGCCCTTCCTTGCCTTTAAAAGAGTGCCCTTTGCCGCGCTGATGTTGCTACATGCCTTACTTCTTGCCTATCTCACACTGCGAATTTTTTCTAAGCTCTATACTAAACATTAAATCTGTTACGAAAAAGGACTAAACAAAATGAACCACAAAACGATCAGCTTTAAAAAAGGACTCGTAACTGGAAAAACCGAATGAAAAAAGAATGTTAACAACAAATACTTTTCAACACCCAACCCAGTTCTGCGGAATCAGAATAATATTTTATATCATTAACTTTACTAATCTACTTTTTGTATGATTGATTCATCGTAATATATATATATATATATATATATATATATATATATATATATATATATATATATAAAACTACACTCGTCTCGAAAAACCTTCGAATTTTTTTATTTGCCAATAATCAAATCAATCTCGAAGGAAAAAAGGTTTTAAAAAAGAGAAAAGCTAGAAACATGAAAGTCTGTCAAAAAAATCAAACAAATACAGGTTCAAAGCCCAAAGAAAAAAAACCGACACGAGTAAACAACTAACTAAAAAGAACCAGCTTTCCCTGACGATCCGCTTAGGTGAAACCTGGGTAGGTTTGTCTGGCTCACTAGGTTTGACTATATATATATATATATATATATATATATATATATATATATATATATATTATGTGAACACAGTGCAAACAAAAACTCCTAATTATGGATGCTGTTATTATAAAAGAGAAGCACCAGACATTGAATAAGCTGTAGTGTATAAGATGTATGGGACCGTGTACTGAAGTGTGTTTCAACATTTTAGTTTGCCTCCAGTGAGTTGAAAATGGATTCCATCAAACGTAAGAACGCTAGAGTTAAAATCCAGCTGCGTAACTGCAAACAGAAAAATCCTTGAAAACGAATTGTGTAACATTCTAAAATACTTGGGTAGAAAGAAATGATAAAAATGATAGAAAATAAAAGTTAATTCGAATTTTAGCAAACTTACCGATACAAAAAAACCCCCCAAAAAACAACCTATTCGAAAATTTGAATAATTAAATAAAGAAATTGATAGACAGAATATGTTCATATTATTTAGCAAAACATTTTTGAGAAAATTACTGCCAAAATACATATATATGAAAATTTATCTCCAATTAAACAGTAAAGACAATATTTATGAATAAAAAAAAAACAAAAATGATACACTCATAAAAAAAGAAAATAACTCACTCAGAAGGAAAATTCTAGAGAGTGCCGCCATAGAATATTACCCAGATATTAATCTACGCCCAGGTGTTTTTTCCCTATTTCACCTTTCTTAACAAAATTACTGCTCCCACAAACAAATGTACACAACAGATTCATAAAATCAAAAGAAAATGGTTGAATACATCAACACAGATACAATGACAATATTCTCCACACGTGACAAATACTGATGTTATTTTCAGTTAACAATAGCATTTCTCTACATTCCAGTTGCTAGGAACATTCTGTTTTTGTTTTTATTAGTTACCTTGGTCAATTAAATTCATTTCGTATTTTGCTTTGATAATGTCCACATTGGACGAAACGCGTCAGCAGTTATTAGTTTTCCAATTGTCTTCTTAGGATGGAAATCTCCGACTGTTGCCGAATCAGTCGGGTTTCGATCCCGTCTAGAAGCAATCTGATGTCTAGCCACACTGCGAAATGTGATACAGCGAAAAAGCATGTCTGTGGATGACAATATATACGCACCCAAAAAAAACTTTAATTCGGTTGTACACCCTTGTGTGAATTTTTAAATAACGTCTATTACTACTAATATTATAAGGCTCTTCCCTTCTCTCGATTGAGCACTGTCAATAATTGATGTGTTTATTCATAAAATATCGATTTTTCAAGCCTATCTTAGATGTGACACAAGGCCGAAAGTATGGAGCACCCAGTGAGGATCAAACTCACTACTTATTCGTAACTGTGTTAGCGAGACAAGCTTGATAACTATTACACCGCCTCGAGGTACCCTTTTTCACATAGTAAGTATGTAAAAATTCCCATTTTTTTTTTCAGCTGTACGCCGATATTTTAGGGGAAAAATTACTGACTATTACCGAATCAGACAGGTTTCGATCTCGGCTTGAAGCAATCGGATGTCTAGCTTCACTGGTGAGCTTCGAAATAGTCTATCTGTAGATGACTGTGTATATATATATATTTATTTTTTGGCAGTATGTTTTCATTAAGAAATGCCTCATTAAATAATTTAGACAAATTTTATCTATTTATTTTTAATAGGATCCGCTCATAATTACGAACAATTTTCTTAGTATCCTTTTTAAAGTAAGAAAGAAAATTGATGCATATTCATTTTATACTGAGTACTTTCGACATTAGCATAATGCCGTCATCAGGGTCTTGTTTTTTTTTTCTAAAACTAGAAATAGGTTTTTCAACGCACCGGGACATTTAGTATTTTTATGAATAGCGTCATAGTGAGCAATAGAAGTGAAATAAGATCTGTACCTTCCATCCCCGAAATGAAATACTAAATTCGGGACTATTTTATTGCTAAGTAATAGACCAGGATGCTACTTCATTACTTTTTATTTCCATTGTTCTCCACTGGCTTCGAAAATCAACATCTTGTATCAAGTGTTTCGAAAAATAAGACCCAAACCTTCCCAAAACTGAAACTATAATCTGTTCACTCATTTACTAGCTTACGACCACATCATGTTGAAATACCGGTTCCCGTACGGTCATCGAAGTTAAGCAACGTCGAGCCTGGTCAGTAACTTGATGAGTGATCTTTTAGAAATACCAGGTGCTGTAAATTTGGGCGCGCGGCTGGAGTAATTGATAATGGCTCGGAATTGTTAACTCTTAGTCAAATTCAATTTTTTTATCCCCATTCATTCATTAACTGGATCACCAGAGTTAAGCAAGGTAGTGCCTGGTTAGTACCTTGATGGGGAAAACCAGATGCTGTAAGCTTGGATGCGCGGATAATTTAATAATATATCAGAATTGTTAATCATAGAGCCAAGTTCCAATTTCCGTGGAGTTCGATATATTCACTTACGGAAAAATACCCTTGGGAAAACTATCTATGTTCTCTACCTATGGGTTATTTAGTAAAACGTATCACTAAATGATTATCTCAAAAAATCTTCTCCGATTCTAAATATAGTTTCTGGCTTTAAATAACCTGTAACGAGTTTATTATCCATAAAAAACTAATCAATCAATTATTCATTTAATCTATTAAATTGTATTAGCGCATTATAAATATTTACAATCTAAAAAATCAGCCTATATGTTTTATTTAATGCTGCAATCTAGAGTTTAAACGTAACGGTATGCCTTGAATTACACATAAAATGTATTTGTAATTTTACTATAAATAGGGTTTGTTGGTTATTTCGCTATAAATATATATTGTTGGTCATTTCATTACAAATATGTATTGCTGGTAATTTTTTTTTTTATATAAAAATGTGTTGCTGTTATTTTTACTATCAAAATATATTTTTAAAGTCATTTCAAATAGGCTTCATTTATAAACACAATCAACTGCAAGTCGATTTTGCTTGCCTAAAAAATATTTTCAAAAATATGGCGGATAAAAATTGCAAACATTTACCGAAGAGTTGTAAACAAGTGGTACCGAAATCCTAACAAGTACTGTACACTTTCTGGCGGCCACAAATATATCTCACTAAAACTTGTGTATGATGAACACATTTAGTATACTACCATAGAAATTAATATAAGATATAAAATAGTAACACAAATTTAGTATTGTATTAATGCTACGGCACACATCGCTGCCATCAGATGATACACTAAGTGTAAACAATGACCGAAGCGTCGATTAACGCAGACGGCCAATTCGGGCAACTAGGCATGGTCTGGGCGTCAGCTGAACAATTTCATGTTAATAATGAGAGTTTAATGCCGGAGAATTGCAGTTTATTGAATATAGAGAGTTAGGGAGGTCGACCTATACGGTAGGTATAGGCGTAACTCAAAATGTTATGCTAAAAATCTTGAGGTCGACATGTACGACAGATTGATTTATACGCCGGGTCGACTTTTACGTAAATTACGGTACTTGCTTTGCATCGGGACTAAATCTTCATGCATCTATTTGTTTCTTTAAACTATCCCACGAATTTCTGAATTTATTTTATAAGCAGAACTGCATAACACATAGATGTTGTCTGTTAATGATTCCCACAAGCCCTTAACCAGAAGTTTACAGGAAAAAAACATTTTATTTTTCGCTCGTGGAACTCCCTTCCGCCTCCGTGATTTTCAGCCAATTTTAATCGACAAGAATTTAAATGCAATGTTAATGGCTGTCTGCTGTTCTCCTGATTATTCTTTCGTCTTCCCGCTCATTATTAATATTATGGTTTCTAATTTTTTCATACAATGTAATCGTTCTTATTTAAGTGACATTACTGCTTTACATGAAGTGATCAGTCAGTAAGTTATGTGCCATGTGTGATACACGCTTAGGCGATCATGTATCTTTCGATACATGAATGACGAGGCAGATTTTTTTCCTGCAACCCGTTGCCATTTCTTTCTGCGGTAACTCTAATTGCTTCGTTTATTAAAACAAAATTAGTTCTTTAGTCATCTGGGGAAAGATAATCCTTCAACTTTCATTTTCTTTTTCAGCTTTCATTCCTCAGTTTTAAAAGTAGCGTCTTTGCCTCTTTTTCTTGTTTTTGTTTATTAGTTCGCCTGCGCCTGCGCCTGAGTCTGTATGTGTATGTGTTCGCACACGCTACATTCATTAAAAGCTCGGCAGTGTTGTTGAGATGTAAGAATTGTCTTTCGAATTTCAGAGATGAGTTGCTTTTATAGAATTAGATTATCACAGGGAATTTCAATTAAAATATTCTTTTATCGCCTACGCTGCGTCAAAAAAAAAAAAAAAAATGAAACAAGTTGTCCTAAATTAAAGTTCTATCTTGCCGGGATGACGCCAATCTCGAGCCCCGCCTCTTCGATGCAGCAAGTTTGTTTCATGCCTTTTTTTGTTTGCCTTTTTTGTTTCATGCCTTTTTTGTTTCATGCCTTTTTTGTTTCATGCCTTTTTTTTGTTTCATGCCTTTTGATAAGTGCAAAACTGATTAAAACACAATCGGTTGTCCTAAAATAAAATTCTATCTTGGCCGGGACGACGCAAATCTCGAGCCCCGCCTCTTCGATGCAGCAAGTTTGTTTCATGCCTTTTTTGTTTCATGCCTTTTTTGTTTCATGCCTTTTTTGTTTCATGCCTTTTTTTGTTTCATGCCTTTTTTGTTTCATGCCTTTTGATAAGTGCAAAACTGATTAAAACACAATCGGTCGGATTTTGAAGTCACCGATTTCATTTTTGAACCCCGAATATTCTTACGCTACACGAACTGGATACGCAGGCAAAGAAGAAATGAATAAACTTCAAAAGACACTTCTCAGATTTCCCTAACATCGTGTTAATAGGCTGGCAGTGAAGATATTTACACTAACATCATAAACACTTGAGCACAATAAGCCATTAATCCATTTAGATTCAGTTATAACTTGGAGAGATTAAATGTGAACATTTTTTTCCTTTTCATTGAAAATACCCAGGTCAGAAAAGTGTTAAATGGCATCGCTTTAGAGTGAAAGTGATAGTTAACTCTTTTTGTTATGGATCAATGTAATCAAATTATATCAGGAGATGCAATTATTTTCTGTGGGGAAAATGTCTAATCAATACAAGTTATCATTACAATTCCATTCCAAATTATAGACATCCAAAAGTACTGTAGATATCTGTCTGTCCCAAGCGACTGTGTTTCATGCTAAGATATTTTTATTCTTTTGTTTGTTTGATTTTATCATTTCATCGCAAGCAAGGCGATAAAGCCACTAAGACGAAAGGGGTTACTGAGTGTGATAAAGCACAAAAAATCGTAAATGAGAGAGAACAATAAAAGAACAAGCGGTAAAAAGACGGAAGATAACGATGGATATTGCATTTAAATTTTTGAAGCTAAAACTTGACTGAGGCCGGAAGAGAGTTCCACAAGTGTGAATATTGTTTTTATATCATTTCACCACAAGCAACACAATAAACCCACTCAGACTGCTGACCTGAGATGGAACAAATACACTGAGTCAATTGCTTCGTCCACCGCAAGGAAACTTGGCTCCCTGTGCCGCGCCAGGAAATTTTTCTCCCCGGAATCGATCCTCCAGATCTACAAATCAACAATTCGCCCTGGAGTATTGCTGCCATATATGGTTTAGTGCCCCCTCTGTTTGCCTCGGGGTTCTTGATAGGCTCCAGAGGCGGATATGCAATATAATTGGCTCTGCTCTGGCATCTCGTCTACAGTCACTTTCTCACAGACGCGCCGTCGCCTCTCTCTGTCTGTTTTACAAATACTTTCATGGCAATTGCTCCGGGGAGCTGCATTAGCTGGTTCCCAGACTTCATGAGTTCAAACGCCCTACGAGGCTGGCATCCCGCTCTCACCCCTTCACTGTCGAAACTCCTAAATGTAGACGTCTCTTCTACTCTAATAGCTTCATGTCTCGCACCTCTCGCCTGTGGAACTCCCTTCCCTATTCCAGTTTCCCTGAGAGCTATAATCTCCAGCTATTCCAGTGTAATGTCAATCGACATCTCCAGTTGCCTTGATCTATCCACTGCCCTTCTCCTCATCCTTTCTTCTATCACTCCTATCTGTTCTTGCTCTAAATTTTCTGTAACCCCTTGCGTCCTAGTGGCTTCTCGCCTTGCTTGGGGTGAAACGCTTAAAAAAAAAAGATGTAAGGGCTTACTGAGTGTGAAAAGAAACAGTAGAAAAACATTATTAATGAAACAGATCAATAAAACCGAAATTCGGAAAACAGATGATAACGAGGACATTACATTTAAAATGTTGAAGATCTAAGTTGAGTGGTAAGCAAGACATCAGAAGAAATATCTACAAGCGAGATTTTTTAAAAATCATTTCACACCAAGCAAAACAATATAGGAAAGAAACATTATTAATGTAAAGATAAAAATAAAAGAACATGAATTAAGAATCCATAAGATGATGATTGACATTGCATGTAAATTTTTGAATATCAATATTCACTTGTAAGCAAAAAACCGGAAGAGCTTCCCACAAGTGCGAGAGACGGTTACAACTAGCCATTTCAACTGTAAAATGATGAGACCTTACCGCCAATCTAGTACTGCGATTAAATTCATAAAATCTAGGTATCATACAAGTGTATCAGAACAATTACCATGAAAATATTTACAGAAAACACAGAGGGCAGCTAACAATTGGTAAAAGTAAATTTCATGGAAAAGAATTAGCTAGTCCCTGTTGCAAACATATACTTCTGCACATTTTTTTTTTGAAAAATGGCTAAAGAAATAAGATTTAGTTTATACTGCATTTTTTGCTGAGCAGAGCTGACTTAGTTTTTTTTTTTAAAGAAGGCGCATCTTCTGTGATAATTAGTTGAGCAAGGCTATTATGCTCAAATCAGCGGTGTCGATGACATGTGACTTCGGGCAAGTGTGGTTCTACAGAAGGTTGCTGAGGATACCATTGACTAAATATGTGAGCAACGACGAAGTTTTAGAGAAAATGGAAAAAAAGAAAACTTATACTTAACACAAGGAAGAAACAGCTGAAATCTTTAGGGCACATAATGAAGAAATACCGCTTGGAACATTTGATACTCACAGTTTGAAGGTAAGCGTGACAGTGGGAAACAACGCATAACAGAGTGAGTTTGAATAAATGGATGACAGAACAAGGTTTAGAAGAAACAGCAAAAAAT